GCCGTCCCCGGTGCTCCGCGCCCCGCCACCACCTCGCCGCCACCATGGAGGCCATCAAGAAGAAGATGCAGATGCTGAAACTGGACAAGGAGAACGCCATCGACCGCGCTGAGCAGGCGGAGGCCGACAAGAAGCAGGCAGAGGACCGCTGCAAGCAGGTGAGTGTCCCACAGACCCCCATTGCCCAGGGACCTCCACCTCAAAGGGTGTCCAGCCCTGGGGATCCCATCCTGATGGGTGTCCAGCCAGGGGACCCTCCCACCTAGAGGTGCTCAACCCCAGGGACCCTGTCTCGCTGGGTGTCTAGACTGGGGACCCTCCACCTAGGGATGCCCAGCCATGGGGACCTGCCCCTGCTGGGTGTCCAGACTGGGGACCCCTGTTCTAGGGGTGTTCTTCTCTGGGAAACTTTGCCCCACTGGTTCAGCCTGCAGATCCCAGCTCCAGGGGTGCCCAGCCCTTGGGATCTCATCCCATTGGGTGCCTGTACCTGGGGACCTCACCTTGCTGAGTGCCTATCCCCAGGGACCAGCACTCCAGTCTGTTGCCTTGACTACTCACATCAGTCCCCCCCAAACGTGCCATGTCTTGGTGGGACACCACAGTGACACCTCCCTATCTTTCTGCCAGGGAGACCCTTGGGGACAGCATACTCCCACCCCAACCACAGAGATGGGAACCTTCTCAGTGCCCCCCAGAGCTGTGTCCATCAGTCAGGACCTCTCCAGTACCTTGCACAGGGAGGGAGCCCACAACCCTCTTACCCCTGCCAGGCTCAGGGATGCTGGGGGTTGCTCTGGCCCTGGGAACCAAGGGCTCCTGGAGGATGTGTGGCCCCAAAGTTGACAGTGAGCATATCTATGCTCCTGCTGCACCTCCAGCCTCAGCCACCCTAGGAGCATGGCCATCCCCTCTCCAGCCTTGTGGGCACCAGCATCCCCCCTGACCCCTGCCCTCTATCCATTCTCCAGCTGGAGGAGGAACAGCAGGACCTGCAGAAGAAGCTGAATGGCACAGAGGATGAGGTGGAGAAGTATTCCGAATCTGTCAAAGAGGCCCAGGAGAAGCTGGAGCAGGCGGAGAAGAAAGCTACAGATGTATGTAGGCATGCCAGCAACTTCTCCCCTTCATTGGGTGCCTGACCTCAGGGGGGTGAAGGAAGAAGGGAGCCTTATATGGAAAGTGTTCATGGGAAAGACTGTCAGGATCCCATTCCTGTGATGCTGACACTGAACTGGGCGGAGATGCAGGGAAGGGACCCGCTGGATCCTGCTTGGGGTCTGGGGGCCAGGCAGGCTGTGGCAGGCACCACTTGGTTAGCTCTGGAGCTTCATGAGCAGCTGCCTGCCCGGGTCCCCAAAGCTAATGGGGACGAGTATCCCAAGCTGTGTCACCAGTCCCCAAGTACATGCCTCTGTGATACATTTTTATAGAAAACATCTGAAGCGCTTGCTAAACTAGCAGAAAGGGAAAAAAAAATAGCAGGGAAATGGAAAAAGTTCTTGCCTGTGGACAGCTGCCAAGAACTGGCTGTGAGGAAGGATGCTTGGTGTGTGTTGGGGGGGGCTTGGTCATTTTGAGGTCCAGTGTGCCACCCTGTACCTTGGGAAGGGTAAGGCCAGGAAGAGTTTTATTTAGTGCCATGACTGATTTTTCTACTGGGAAATGGATTTTGCTGAGGAAATGCTAGGAAGGTGTTGAAATTGGCTTGTGCCTGGCCAGGATGAAGGGTGAAACAGCTGTGTGCAGCCACTGAGCTGCTCAGGAATGGTGTATAATGGCCTGTGGTGCTACACATGGTATTTGACACCCTATAAATAAATCCTTCTTTTGATAGCCAGACCTTCTTTGATGAAAACTAACCCTGGAAACTGGAGGAGAAGATAATGGGGAGCTGGCTGGACTGTGGCCATCAGGGCATAACCAGGCTTTTTAGGACTGAAAACAAAAAATTCAATCTCACCTGGTCTATGGAGCTAAATGGGGGAGATGCATCAAATCTCCGAGGTGGCCACCAAGGATAGGGGCAAGCAGACAAGGATGAGCCCCTGGGGAGCAGCTGGGGGGCTCCTCAATGTTTTTTGTCAGCAGACTTGCCCCAGTCTAGTTAGATACTAAACCAAGTAGTTAAAACGTTAAAAATCCTCTGGAAGGGCACATTTATCCTGGTGTGGGGCAGGCACATCAAGCCAGACAGGGTGGCTGCTATGTGTAGGCAGAGGTCTGTACTGATCTGACTGGATCCATGCTGATGTGGGACAGGGCAAGCTTGGCGTGGGATCTGGCTGAATGTGGATGGGATGCCCCTGGTGAGGGGTTTGGATGAAGGGGCAAATGGAGGCACAGGACAGATGTCAGCCGCGAGGTGCGGAGCACTGCTGGCAGTAGGCTGTGTGATGCTGTCCTGGGCAGGGAGGGTGTGTTGCCACGCTCTTGGCCCACAGCAGCTCAGCAAGTCTGTGGGCTTTGGCAAGAAGAGTCCTGTCCCAGCAGACACAGGGAATGGAAGCCACCAACCCCTCCAGGGAAGGGCTGGATGGGGAGGCATGGAGAAGGAGCATTCCTGCAGTGTCAGGGGGGCAGGCTGGCTGCAGGCAGGTGTTGTGGGCAGGGCTGAGAGCCCATCAACGGCACAGCTGCCCCAGGGCCATGCTGAAGCCTGGATAGGCTGTGCCATGTACAGGGCACTGGGAGTCACTAGGTCCCCATGCCAGGGACCTGAATGTGCCAACAGTACTAAGTGCCAGGACTGGTGTTGTGTCCTCCCCAGGACAAGACGCCAGTGCTGCTCCTGGCTCTGGCAGAGGAAGCACAGGGTAGACCCTCAGAGCCCACCCACTTGCCTCCCTGGGGACCTTTGTGCCCCCCTTGGCTTCCAGGACACTGTGTACCTATGAGCATAGAGCTTCTTCATTCCTTGGCCAGGTCAGGGCCCATCACAGCAATCCAGGCAAGCTCCTGGTCTCAGCAAAAATGTGAACAAATGCCTAAAAGAATAAATCTCCCCCTGCTCTGGCACTGCCCTGGAGTGGCAGTGCACAAAGCCCATAGGGACTGCACTGAGTGCAGATGCAACCTCCCCACAGGCACTTGGAGGAGGGCCAGATGGTGGCAGACCAGAACGCACTTGACCCCATATTGGCAGCTCCACGGTGCTGGCAGCCACTCCCCAGCAGCTCTGTGAGGCCACTGTGGTCCTACCACCTCCTTGTCCCCAGGAGGTGGGGACCACAGCAGGATGCTAGCAGGGGCTGCTGGACACGGTGCAAGCGGGTTTAGCCAGAGCAGCCCCCTTCAGTCCCCATGCGCCCCCAGCCACCCCGCGGGGTGCAGCAGGGGCTCAGGAAAACTCCGCAGTTCCCAGGCCATGATCCCAAGGTCCCACCCTGATTGCTCTCACTGGCTGAGACTTTGCTCTTATTTGGTGATTCCCTTAGCTAGTGGGAGGGAACCGGACTACTGGGAACTGACTGCATTCCTGGGTGAGGCCAGAGCAAGAGGCATTCAGCCTGGCAGGCAGCTGCTCCCCAATCTA